TTACAAGGAAGCAGAAAAAAACCAAAGAAATGATAATTGAACAAATAAGAAAATAATCAGCAGAATTTAATAAATACCAAAGTATGCAAATCATAGGATGGTTCATTTCCAGTGTTAAAAAAGAACTACAACATAGTTAATAATTACTATCAGAAGACAATTTTATATTTCCTAAAGCAAAATATGCCTGAAAAATTATTTTTTTTCTAATTAGATTAGTTGTAGCAGTGCTGAGAAATGTCTGCCACAGTTCTTGGCATTTGGTCAGTTGGGATCCAAAGGTGGCACTCTTTGGAAGGTTAGGGAAGTGCAGGCTTGTTGGAAGAAGTACATCAGCAGACTTTAAAACTACACATGTTGTGGACTTCCACTTCTATCTCTCTGCTTCCTGCTCCAGTCCCTGGGCCTCTGCCTGATGCATGCCCACCTGCCATGATGGGCTCTTATCTGGAGTCTTAAACTCAAACAAACCCTTTGTTCTACAAGTTGCCTTGCTCATGGTGTTTTATCTCAGCAACAGAAAAGTAACTAATACATCAAGGAAAGTAAAACCTAAAAAAAAAAAAACAAAACCATATGGATCCAATATACTTTCCTGTTTATATTTAACAACATTAGCCTTTTTCTTTATGACAGCAAGTATTGAACCCAGGTTCTCTAGCTTGCTAAGTAAGCACTCTACTGTGTAGCTACATCCTTGTCTCATTTTACTATTCTTATATTTAGGCAGCATCACATTTATTTGCCCATACAGGCTAGGCAAGTCTTGAACCTGACATTGTTCTGATTGCCTCTCTAGTAGCTGGGGTTATAGGTGTGTACAATCTTGTCTCACTTAAAAACAAATATTAGTTTTTGAAGAACAATGTAAGTAAAATGACTATAGCATATGTCCCATCTTTCATTTTTATATCCAAGGTCATAGAAGACAAATTTGATATAAACATTGATTGCATCGATTATAAATATGTACAAACATTGGAATATCACTAAATGAATAATTTTTGTTATGGAAAAAGTCAAACTGCAATTGTTGTAATAGTCTATTATTCTGACTACCATTCATTTCTGTTTTTAAGGATTTGTTCCTTTTAGCTTACAGTGTACGGAAGGTTTTTTAATCTTCTTTCTTCTTCTTATAGAAGAGAACACTTTTATCCCCAAAGCTTGAATTGAATGTATTATCTGGCTCCTTCAGATGGCAACATTTAATAATAAATTACATCTAGATCCTAGAAACAACTATGAAAGGCACTAAAATGTGGAAGCTTTCTAGAAGTAGCTCCCATACACTTCTAAATCACACACACCATTAAATATAATTAAGTACTATTGTCTAGGTTTCACTAGGTAAATTTCTAATGTCTAGTGAAATCTGACAGATATATACCTGTGACCTTAGTCTTATGGGCTTAAGGAAAAATAAATTGTTCTGTCCTGGGTATAAAGTAATCCCCCTGTCTGCCTTCTTTATAAGTTTAGTGTTTTATTCCTGTAAAACATGATCACCATTGACTAGTGATTCTCCTCAAAAGAAGCATGAATGGACACCTCAAAACAGCCCTTTCAGAAGACGTGGTGACACCCAGCTTCCACTGGGGCATCTTACAATTTTTCAAATCTAACAATTTCATTTTTTCAGCATTTGAGTAGACCAATAAGTTTTTTTTTTTAGTATGTTACTATGAAAACTTATTTTCTCATCCCAGGTGAAGAAATTAATAAATAAATCACTATAATACATGTGTTTTTGTTCAGTTATGTACTTTGAATCTAAAGATTACTAAAGACTAAATGATGTATCTTTCATCTTTTTGGAATAATTCAACTTAGTTGATGGATAGGATGGGTTTTCATTTCTATCTAAAAATGATAAGAGGATCATAATTACCTAGTATAATTTAATGAAATAAGAAGATTACATATGAAGACTTCTCAAAACTCCTAACACAAGGGTTCACTTCACATTTAGTGTTCAAAGGCAACTTCAAACAAAGTTACTAAATACAATAAATTGAAAATCTATTTCTTCTTGGTTTCCAAACATTTCATCTATTAAAATACCAATTCAAGGAATAACACATTATATGATACTTGATGATATTTAGTTTAAACACTATCATGTTAGCTACTAATATAAATAATGTAGAAATTGTTACTGTGGTATGGGTGTTTTGTTGCTATGATATTATATGTTCATATTATATGTCAACTTAACAGAAAATCAAAAAGCATTTTCTCTATTTGATAAAAATGAAACTAATTTTATCTTTTGTGAGTTCTTTACAGATACAATTTCTTTTTTTTAACCTTTTTAGAGCTTTATTGGGAGAGGGGGAGAGAGAGAGAGAGAGAGGGAGAGAGAGGACAGACAGAAGGAAGGAACAGAAAGGAAAGAGAGGGCACAATTTCTTTTTTTTTATTAAGGATTTTTTTAATTCATTTTACATACCAACCACAGATACCCCTCTCTTCCCTCTTCCTGCCCCTCCAGCCTTCCTTTCCCAACACACACCCCCCATTCCTCTATTTCTAACATACTCATTTAAATTTTGGTAATAGTGCTGGATTTTCATAGCAATAACCATATAACTATTTATACAAAGACAACCAAAGATCGAAGAGCTTAGTCTCACATACTATATTATTGTAATCAAATAATTACTGATTGTAGACACTGAGTTCATTCATGGTTGTACGTAGTTCATAACCACATGGAAAATTGTTTGCTTAGAAAAAGAAACTGAAAAGAACTATAGAAAGGAGAATCCAAATTTTGATCTCTACATCAGTAACTAAAATTTAACTTTGTTTTATCATGTCTTGCCTATATTTGTTGTAAATGAATACTTATTTTCATATTTTATGGAAAAAGACACACCTGTCTCATTATGTACATCTCACTGAATGCCTTCTCTTATTCTATTTCCTGTATTTATTCCTGAGATTCAAGTAATGGAAGCTTCAGATGTGATACACAATGTCTTACTTTTTAGAGGGTTGAAAATGACAATGGTTCATCTGCTATAATCGGGCTACTGGAAGCAGTCTCAACAGAGCCATTAATGCTATTTCATGAATCTGTACATTTTCAGTCACCAGTGCTTCCTACTAGCATTGTACTCCCCACAAAGCGTGAGCTACTTACAACAACTAAAGAATTAGATGCTGCAACAATCACACCTTTCTCAAATCCTCTGAGCAGGAAAGAAAACCCAGAACAGATAACTATAGAACTTAGTCCTTTATGGTTTTTATTTGAGATTATTTGTTAAAAGGAGATGATTAAGTTTTCATGTATTCGAAAGCCTTGGTGTACAAGAAAATGCTGTTAACTGCTTCATTGCTGATGATGGACAATCATCACATGCCTGTGAGAATAAGATTTCTCAGTCTTCAGCTTGCAGCTTGCTTGGGCTTCAGGGTTTTAGGATGCGCCCTCACAATTGTTTAATGATCTTGTTCAAAACCACGAGATCCTCATCTCTATTCTGTCTCAGCAGATACACATGGAAAGTTTGCTACCTCCAGAGAACATCTGTGCACTCAGCTTGACTTAGCTCTCATTCTCTGTGTTTTTATGTTAAACAAACTCCGGTTTGCTGAATCATTGCACTGTCTATACTCCTGACACTTGACTTACAATTTTAAGGTGATTTTTGTAAAATTGAGACTATTGTTAAATGCCATTCTAATGTGGAATGTCTTTGAAGAAAGTGGATTACAGAACAGCAGAGATATATAAATGGGGATTAATTCACGTCCCTGGGAAGGCGTGCTGCCTTTTAAGCAGCGATTTCATCTGTGTTTCTTGTAGAGAAGCCAGAACAATTTTTTTCCATTGGTCACAGCTCCTTCCCAAATGGGTTGTCTGCTGCCACAGTATACAGAATGACTCTCTGTACAAATCAGAATGGTCATTATCCAGGCTGACTGTAAGGAACTAGTCCCAAATCTGATCATTGAATATATCCCTAGATTCTCCCTCATCCCATAAGGTCATGCTCTTATTTTATCTCCATCTTTTTTCATTGAACCAAAATAAATCAAAATGATTTCTACTCAACATAAATCCATAGCACAGATTAAATGATAAGCGAACACTATTAAGAATGCTAAATGTTTCGTCAAACACCTACCTATATATTATCAGCCCCTATTTCTCGATCTTGACCAGATATGTAGATATGGGGAAGTGTTGTCTAGAGACTTTTCTTCTTCTGAGTCCTGGGTTTTTTAAGATGTCAGTATATTTCAGACATTCTTACTAATGTGATAGTGATAGCAAAAGAATATTTCACATCTTCTGTCTTCCAACATTAGCAAAAAGAAGTTGGTAATTCTCTCCAGAGTCAAGGTTTACTTAAGTGGATGGATTCCCTTACTGACTGATTTGCTGCAACAGTGCTACAACAGAACATTGGTGGATTTAGAGGTCTGCAGACTACATCATTTCAATGGTCAATGAAAATTCATGTTAAAATTACATCAGTGCCCCAACACACTAAAAAAAGAAATCACAATGAAAACACCAAGAGTTTTACATCTCCTAGACTACGTTAGAATAATGTATTATTTTTTGTTCATTTTTATAATAAATTATTGCCTTCTGATAACAGTTTATGGATTGTCTAAATTATTGTATTCTGATTTAAGTTCAACCAGGAAAACATTGCTGAATATAAGGAAATGAAGTGCCTTCAAAAAAAATCTTAAAGACAGTTGTCTCTGAAAAATATACTATTTGGCATTAGAATTCTCTCATGTATTAAGGCATAGTACATGAGTAGTGTTATGCTATACATCTCATGTTAATTTAGCTAAAAAGCACAAATTGTATCTTTGCGATGACAGAAACACCGAGATAAAAGTGAGACGCCCTTTATCTCACCTTCACCCACTGCATTGAGAAGACAAGAGCTAGGAGAGACTTGGACTAACTTATGAAGAAATTCATTAATGCAGGAGTGATGACCCAGGCAAATCAGATGGCAAATTACCTTTGAGAGATCCCCCGCCTCCAAATAGAAGCAGATAACAAACACGTTCCACGTCACCCAGAGGACTAGCCAGACAGCATACTGTGAAAAAGCAAAGGAAGAAGAGCAGAATTAATTTGGAATTAGCTGAGTCAGAGGGCAAATAGATCTTGCACTTCTGAAATTCAAATCAAAAGATTAGGTGAAAATACTGGATGTTGCTTACATCTAAAGAACACACACACACACACACACACACACATATATATATATATATATGTATATGTATATATAATGTTGATTTCTTACAACCTTTTATGGTCTCAGAGCTCATAAAATACCGAAGGATCTTTTTTTTTGGTTTTTAAGGCAGAAGAAATAACAGCTTCCCTCTTTCTATATAATGGGTTTTTAGTTTACAGACATGGAGATAATTGGATGCTCCCATAGACACACTAAATATGTAAAAAGAAAACATTTTTGTTTAGTAAAGTCATTTTTATAGTGAATATGCAAACTTACTTCAAATTGCTAAGGTTATTCCCAACACAATGGTCCTCACGTCCATGTCCCATGTAGTCAGGTTTTTTTTTTTTCTTTTGTGTTTTACTTCTTTGCTCATCTTCTTATATTATCCTCTCACAAACCCCATGACATAACAGTAATCATCTAGCAATTATCCAGAACTTTATTCTGTTGCCTGCTTAGTGTATATTCTGCAGTAGCAAGGAATTTGCTTAACAAGTCACAGTTTTGATCATCCAGTCAAACAAATTATTTTAAACACCTAGAAGTCAATATCCTAGAAAAACACTGCAGATAACAAAGACCAAAATTAATTACCCACAAACTCATGTCAAATAAAGGAGATGATTTTTAAAAGGATGAATATCACATAGGAAATGATCAAATTATGTGTAATGTGAAGACAAAGAAGGAAGATGTGAAATCTTTTTTTTTTTTTAAAAAGGAGGGGACGCTTCCTCTCTAAGAAATGAGTGAAACTGACTGTCAGACATAAGTTAAAATGTGAGGAACGATTGGAATGGTGATATCAACAAGAAAATGGCAGGCGTGGGTTTTGCTTTGTCAATTGAAATCACGGGGTATTATGTTACTTTCTGCTAAATAAACCCATGGCTTCCATCTCTTTGATGAGTTTCATATCTCTATGTCACAAGTCAAGAACCTCCATGGTTTTGAACCATGCTGTCTTTTAAGTCACTTATTTGAGCTCATCTCTGTAGACATCCTGGACTCCAAACACACTGTTGACTTTCTGTTCTGTGGATTTAAAGTACATTTTTCTTCTCAGGGTCTTTTACCGTATAATTCCTTCATCATTGATTTTTTTTTCTTTTCTCTACACATTACTCTTCACATCCATCAATATTTTACTTTTCTTCAAAGGTCACCTAAAATAACACTTGCTGACAGACACGCAGTTACAGCTGGCTGAGCTTTTCATAGAGTTTTAGCTGATGTTGCTGTATTCATTTCACCCCTAATAGTATCTTTAATTACTTATACATAAATGCCTAATGTTCAAACAATAATGCATTTAGGGAATATATTCTTCTGTGTATGTCCATCTCCCTAAGCTCCTAACTCAATACCTTGGATATAACAGACATTCAGAAAAATATTATTTTTAATTCAGGGAGTGAATGATAAGAAACTGAGAGAAAATACTATTTTCAGTTGCAGAATGCCGACTCTACTCATGGACATCGTTTGTGCAGGCATACTGTGATCATTCTGTGATTTGAGGAGTCATGAAATTGTTGGGTAACAGTAAATGATGATTACACAGCATTTTAAAGATGTTCAGTTGTACCATCTGCTGTACAGGGCTGTTGTTCTGTGCACCATAGAGTGACGAAGGCCAAATCAAATGGTCCAAGAATAAAGATATTTGAGATGGTACCTAGAGTGTGGGCTGAGAACTGATGATGAGATTCATACACTGAGTAATTGCGGAAGAAGATGATCTTGATCTGTTGAACAGGGATCCCATGAAACATTTGAGTTTGATCAGTGTGTGTATTTAGCTAGCTCAGCTTATTTTTAAACTAAATGGGGGTTTATTATCAATTACTTTGAGTATGTTTTTTATCACTTTCTTGTTAGGTATTTAGATTTCAAATATTCCACAGATCGCCTTTTCACTGCAGTTGCTTCCTATTCTCTGCAGAAGCATTTTCATTGTATCTGACACATTCTAGCTTTGCTTTGCTTTCCTGTAATTTGAAACATACAAACAAACAAACAAACAAACAAAATCTTGTTCATTTCAATGTCCTGAAGTATTTCACCTATGGTGGTTCCTAAGAGTCTGGGGTCTTGCATTTATTTGATGTATAGATTTGGATTTTAGTTTCAGAAATACAATGAAGTTCTGGGTCCATATTGATAACATGATGAAGAAAAAAAATGTACCTACAGTTTGCAATCATTTAGTTAACTTTTTAAAATCAAAATAAAGAGAAAAGGGTAGGAAAAGTAAATTCATGTTTTCCTTTGGTCCCATTAACACATTTCTTTGCCTTTTAATGATGGATGGAAAGCTGAGTAGATCTTACTTATGAAATGACAGATTAGGAGGTTAGCAAAATATTTGGGAGGAGTGCATGAAATGCTTTTCATCACATGACTCAAACGTTCCTGAAATTTGTCATTGGCAGGCACTAAAGAATGTTAATGCTAGATGGAGGATAAAGCTAAGAAGTAGAACCTTGCTTGTGGGAGCACTGAGCTCAATCCTCAAAACTTAAAAAGTAAACAGATAAATAAAGACAGAAAATGTCAGTGCAGTGGTTTTCTGTTGAAAATGTAATTTTCATTTTATTTTACTTTATTTTATTTGTATGTTTTGCCTGCATGGGTCTATGCAACTCTTGAGTGCATGATGCTGGAGAGAGGCCAGAAGAGGGCATAAGATTCTCTGGAACTGTAGTTACAAATGGTTGTGAGCTCCCATCTGCATGCTAGAAATCAAACCTGGATTCTCTGAAAGAACACTCAATGCTTTTAACCACTAACCCATTTCTCCAGCCTGATGCTGTTAGTTTTCTATTACAAACCTGAAATTATATATAAAATTTATCAAGTGGTAGAAATATTACATATATCTCCACAGGTACTTGTCATACTAGTTTATCCAACAACACAGTGAATATATAAATAACAGTTTTCTCCTCTTTGAGACTAATATAGTATTTCCCAAATTATACTTAATTACTTACATGTATATATAAATTGTATTCAGTTTGGTTAAAACTTGAGCTGAAATTTTTTGGTTTAATAAACAAAATTAAACAATATTATGGGAGGATGGCTAAGATCAGACACCCCATAAAAATACATTACATAGAAATTAAGAACATTGTACATATCATCTGCATCTACCAGTTAGGAACTCTACAGATATTCCAGCTATATGGTATCATTGAGGTTCAGATTCTACAACTGTTTATTAATAATTGGTAACTCAGAGGGCTTCTATGAGGCTAGGTGATGGAGTGCTTCAAAGCATTCATAACTTGAGTGTTCGATAGCTATTGCCACTTTATTATAATACATACATTAGTGCATTGCACTTTGTCAAAATAAGACAGCAGTGACACCAAAAGTTTATCATACCAGACTCCGTAAAACACACTCCACTCATGTATCTAACACGTCATTCTATCCAGCTGCTTTTGCAACCAAGAATTATTTTCTTAAGATAATATGATTATCTCTAACTTAAAGGTGTTCTTCTTTTTTGTCCTTTTACTTAAATTCCAAAATTGATATGTACATCGCATTTTGAAGGAAACAGTTACATTTTTAAATTAAGACAATATTTTTTCATCTTTTATTACTATATCATACATTTATGAATCACATTCTATATCTGATTCTATGGGTTTCTTTTCATAGTATTTATGGTAAAGATTCTGCAGGTCCACCTTTTCCAAGGGTAGCACAGAAGCACATGTTCCTCTTTCATCTTTGTGTTTCTTTGAATTACTTTTGTTTCTTTGTATACCTTACTACGAGTCAGGTGGCCCCATAAAATACTAGATATTACAAGCTTATAGAAGAAAGTCATCACTTTTAGTGCTCTGGGCCCTTGAACAAACAGAGGGAAAAAACTTGAGTGTACTCATAGTAATCCTGGTAATCATTTCATTATGCTAAATAGGGGTTTTACTAACTTTATTCCATTTATCTTGATGCATTAATTATCTTTCATTTAACTTTCTTTTATATCATCATTGCTTTCTTCATTTTTTTATTATTCCTTTCTGTAATAATATTTCGTTTTTAATAGCTAATGGAAGTATTTTTCTGGACCAAATATCTTCCCGTTGGATGTTAGTAGTTGCCTGAGTATTGATGAAGGTATTTGCATTTCCTTATAAATTGTCTGGCAGTGATTTTTTTTTTTTGCCAATATACTCTATTGCTAAGTCTGTTCTTCAACTTGTTCATGTAATAGAAATTATAAGGGTCTGTACTAACTTCTTTCCACTTGCTACAGTGAGTGGATTGGCAATAGTTGACCATTGCTCACCTTGGATGTAATTGGAAATGACATTCTGCCTGGGAGAACTACCCTAACAAGATGACAGAGAGTTGCACTGGCTAGGTATCACCTCACTTGTGGTTTTCTTCAGTAAAATGAATCTTGCTTCAGTCTCATTTTTCCTGTGAAAAGTCTTATATTTTAACCTCTCAGATAAAAGCTTAAAAGCTTTGATCTATTATCTGTGATAAGAGACAAATCCCACTTCTTGATGAAATTCACTTTTCAAGAACTGATGCCTGAAGCACCCAATAAACCATTTGAGAAACTAATGCAATCTGAATCTTACCAAAATGTTGAAAACTGTTAGCTATAAATGAACTAATGATTCATCATGATTTCCCTGCTGTCTTGTGGCTAGAACAACAAAATCAAATTACCTACATAAAGTAAAAAGTAGTTAAGGCTCTTACTCATTGTAGGCAAATCAGATATATTTGTGCTCTGCATGTGTGTGTGTGTGTGTGTGTGTGTGTGTGTGTGTGTGTGTGTGTGTGTGTACATGCATGCACATGCACACATATGCACA